CTCGTCAGTAAAGCCGGTTCCGTGATTAGTAGTAAATCTCCATCACCTGCTTTCAGATGGAGCGGCATTTAATACATAGAGCCGTAGTTCATTGACAATTAGGCAATATCGTGTTCATTATCGCAGGCGATTCAATCTGCGATAATGAACGCGATATTGCCTAATTGTCAATGAACTACGGCTCTGTGTATTAAATGCCGCTCCATCTGAAAGCAGGTGATGGAGATTTACTACTAATCACGGAACCGGCTTTACTGACGAGATGCGCATGACAATCGCATGTGATTAATTGCACAGCCCTAGAGTACAGCAGGTGTGAGAATGCTGGGAAATTGTTGAACAGAATGCTTATAATAACCAGTATTTGCTGATTTTATACTAAGATTACCTTTGTGGAATTGCAATCTACAATCTGAGTAGCCATTATCAGTTTAGCAGAGCGATATCTCTACAGGGGGCACATCAAATGCTTATAATATTACATTTCTGGGTGATTTCTTTGTCATTTGGAAAGGGCTCTAGCCAGATCATGAATAATGATTATTAATAAACTTAGATCGGCACCAATAATTTTAACAAATTTAGATCAGTGGATTCTGCTCATAGACTAAAATCAATATATTCCACTATGAAAGTAAACAAGTAAATAAGACACAGTTTATTTCTGGAGAGTCAGAGAGCTCAAAATCTACTGCACAACATCAAATTAAAGTTAACATGAAATCAAAATTGAGCCTATATTATGCTTGCTCTTGATCTTATTGTGTATGATTTCTGAGTGCGGGTTAACCCAAATTTAAATATGGGACTTTTGGAGTCTTTGTGGTCATTTCTTGTTCCACTTCTGTTATTTCTGATGTCACAAGTTCTCCTTATTCTGTTTTTAACATTGTTAATATATTGCTTTTAATAAATGTTTCTCGAGCACCAATTCGCTGACAATTCAGTTTTGCCATCACAGGAAACAGTTCTTTTTAAATTGAAATCATATTTCACAATATTGCTGTTTTTACAGTATTGTTGATCAAATAAATGCAGCCTTATGTGAACATAAGAGACTTCCAAAAATATATAAAAAAGAAAAGAAAGAAATCTTACGACCCAAAACCAACCACATTTTTTATGATTCAATAAATTCTTGATGGATTAAATAAAGCCCTGCCTTGATGTTTTTTTTTTCTTGAATAGAATATCCTGTTTTTTCTTATTGAATAGCCTTGTCAGATTAGAGATAATAAATGGAAGCAGTGCTGTTTTATGCTGATAAAATCATGTTTTAATTTATAGTTACTAAGTAATACTTTTTGCTTGAACATTGGAATAAAGACTGGAGTGAAACAGGTATTTCCCATTGAACCAAAGATGTTGCTGTAAATAAACTCCAATGGCAAAGTCAAATTATAAGGCATCTCTAAACCTGGCAATTTTGAAGACCTTGAAAGGTTTTTTTGTCAAGCCGTGTAACAATTTCTTGTCCAATTGTTAGCCGAACTAAAAACCAACATGCAGTTTAAATGTGTACAGATACATGGCATGGCTTTGTGCCGTTTAACCTCGAGTTTATACTTTTTGTTCTCAGCAGTGCTCGTGCAGCATAAACATAATGGATTTTCTTTGCTGCTGCAAGAATAACACGTCTGCTCACCAGGTCATATAATTTAATGTGCTCTCAACCATTAAATAGTGTTCCTGTGGGGCAGGATACCTTCATCACACCTTCATGTTATATAGACCCAGTGGGATGGGTTACTTTGATCGCAGAATGGGAAGAGGGACATGCCGTGGACCAAATTTAATAGTGGGGATGGCACTTCGGACAGAAGCAATTTGATGTTCATTTTACCTTTTGAACTAGTGCAGTGTTTTACCAAGAGTATTGTGTCTCAGGGTTCCTGATGTGGGAGGACATGATGGCCTTTTCCATCGTCTTTTTTTTTTTTCAAGGTGAGACGCAGAGTCCCTGTGTTTGTGATTGTTCATTTTTGTTTGCCTGATTTGATTGGTCTGCGCTAAAAATGGGACTTATAAATGGAGAGCTGACCCTTCCCAGCCTCTGTAGTCCCATTCAATCTCTCGTACCCGTCGAAATGTCTCGAGAGCTCTAACTGCACTCTATCAATGCCGTACTTGGTCTAAGCTCTAGACACACGGGCCCTGTCCCAAATGGATGTCTTCATGTGGACCTGCATTCACGTGGCCTTCTCTAGTGCGTGTCAGTGAAGTCCACGAGACCGTAAAGTGTCCCATTTGTCATTTTAGGTTTCAAAAGGGTGCTCACGAGGACATCTGAGACAGATCGTTAGGTTACTTGTGTAACCCCGGTTCTCTGATAACAGAAGTGAGGTATCTCACTATGGGAACGCCTCAGGCGTGACCGACTGCGGAAGCACCAATTACACCACGTCTGTCAGACTGACAGACCAATCGCTGCAGCGATCAGGGAGTCCCGCCTCCCCGGTATATAACTCACCGCAGCCCGCTGCAGCGTCATTCTCCACACAGCTTCTTCACCGTGTAGTCTGCAAGAAGGGCGGTGAGGTGAGATACCTCACTTCTGTTATCAGAGAACCGGGGTTACGCAAGTAACCTAACGTTCTCTTTCTAACATCCGTTCGGTATCTCACTATGGGATATAGACCACTCCCGCATTGCAGATAATACTGTATGAACAGACGCAACCTAGGAAGGTGATAACAAGTGATCATGGCTTTAATGCTTGAGCAAACCTGATGCACTTCATAATATAATACTGTGAAGACAAGCACAGTGAATTATACTGCTGAATTTAAAATATGCGCGTATGCCCTGAATAAAATGCATTACATATCAGGCACCGCTCCTGCTCCCAGCACTGAATGCGCCAGTGACGACTCTGTCACATCCAATCTATAATATCTCACAAATGTGTGCGGTGATGCCCAGCTCGCCGCAGCACAAATGTCCTGAATAGAAACTCCTCTGAACATCGCCCAGGACGTGGCCATTCCACGTGTGGAGTGGGCGCGAAGTCGAGGTGGAGGTGGTAAATTTGCATCCTTATAACACATTACGATCGCGTCTACCACCCAGTGAGAAAGCCGCTGACATGAAACAGGACTTCCTCGATAATTGTCAGCCCAAGAGACAAAGAGCTGATTACTCCTTCGTAACAGTCTCGTCTTCTGCACATAAACACTCAAAGAGCGCACCGGGCATAAACAGTGTAACCGCACTTCCTCTGATGAAGAAAAAGGCGGTGGAAAGAACGCTAGCAATTCCACAGATTTGTTTGTTCCTGTTGTGTCCCTGACCTTAGGAACAAATGCCGGGTTAGTCCTTAGCGTAACTTTCGATCCATCCAATGCAAACTGCATACAGGAAGGATGTACTGACAAAGCGTGTAATTCACTTATGCGCTTTGCTGTAGTGAGAGCGATCAACAAAGCCGTCTTTAAAGAAAGACGCCGCAAATCAATGCCCTCTAATGGTTCAAACGGAGGCTGTGAAA